AAAAAAAAAAAAAAAAAAAAAAAAAAGAAGAAGAAGAAGAAAAAGACAGAGAAAAAGGAAGAAAGAAGAAATAAAGAAGAAAAAGGAAGTTAAAAAGATGTAACGTTAGCTTACGAATATGTTGACACCTTCCGACGTCAAACCTCCAAACCCTCTCTCGAATTGCTCTCTCGTCTCTGCAACATCCTTTAGTTTTGTTTAGTTTACTTGAGCTCCCTTCAGTCTTATTCCCTACAAATCTTTCACATTTGTTTCCCTCCTTTTTGTTTTTTGTTTCTTCACTGATTGCTTCATCTATCTTCAATTTTGGTTACTGTTTGTTTGTTTTTGTTTGTTTTTTGGGCTTCCTTCTTCTGGGTTCATTGATTTTGGTTGAAGGAATCTGAATTGGCGGGAGCCAACGTTCAATTATGTGGTTTTAGGAGGTGGGTTTTGCTTGGATTTGGATTTGGGATTTGGGATTGGAAAAGGTTTCGAAATTGTTGGGTGTTTTGATGGCTAACCCATCTGGGAACCATCACGAAGCGGGCCAACCATCGTCTTCCTTTGATGGAGGGAACCCCAGCAATGGTAATTCGACTCCTGTGCCGGTGGCGGATAATTCGAGCTCGGCTATTGCTATGAAGCACAACCCAGGTATCTCGACGGATTGGACATCTGATGAGCAGGTCACTCTGGAAGAAGGGCTTAAGAAGTGAGTATTTTTTCCCCCTTGTTTTGAGCTTCTTGCTTTTACTGATCTTTTCCTTTTAAGTTCAAGCTCTTTTTCATTAGTTTTCCACCCTTTTTCATTGCTAAATGGTTAGATTACGAGATTTGTTCCTCGGAGTTGTGTTTAATAAGGCCCTTATTCATTTGTGGTTCGGACTTGAGAAACAATTTGTACTCGTTTTTCCCTTGGCATACTGGCTACGTCTATGGACTGAACTGATTTTTATTGAGTTTTGGGAATATATATGTTAATGTAGTTTATTTCGAATGGGATTATTGGTAGTTAAGCATTTGTGAATTTATGTGGAATTTGCTCGTTTGAAGTATGAACTCTGAACTAATAGCAGCTCCCTGTTATCTGGATCTCACCACATGGCATCTGATAGTAGTTCTGTCTGTTGCTTTTATCAACATTTTCAATTGCACAAAGATTGCGAGATCCCACATCAATTGGGGAGGAGAATGAAACGCTTTTTATGAGGGTGTGGAAACCTCTCCCTAGCAGGTGCGTTTTAAAAACCTTGAGGGAAAGCCCAAAGAGGACAATATTTGCTAGGGGTGTGCTTGAGCCGTTACAAATGACATCAGAGCTAGACACTGGGCGATGTGCCAATGAGGAGACTGTTCTCTGAAGGGGGTAGACACAAGGCGGTGTGCCAGTAAGAACGTTGGGCCCCAAAGGGGGGTGGATTTGGTGGGGGTCCCACATCGATTGGAGAAAGGATCGAGTGCTAGTGAGGACGCAGGGCCTTGAAGGGGGGTGGATTGAGAGATCCCACATCGGTTGAGGAGGAGAACGAAACGTCTTTTATAAGGGTGTGGAAACCTCTCCCTAGCAGGCGTGTTTTAAAAACCTTGAGGAAAAGTTCGAAAGTGAAAGCCTAAAGAGGACAATATCTGTTAGCGGTGGGTTTGGGCCGTTACAAAGATGTTCAAGTTCTTGTTGAGGGAAGGTCTTTGTTCTTAATGCGAGGGCCAAAGGTGTAGGATTTAAAACTAAGTTCTAAATTATTGGAATAAGGAATCCATATATGTAGGACAAGGCTTGGATGCTTAACATAAAGAGTTTTATTTGACATATGATTGTGAAGTGTTTTTGAAAGCTAAAGTGGAATAACGAAAGGTTAGATGAGTGCAGAAATGATACCTTTTACTCTATTTTCTTAAACGTGTCACAATGTGATTGGTTTGAAAGTTAAAAGATATCCATGTCAACATTTCAAAGGCCTTACTAATTCTCTCATCCAAAAGGAAACAAACTTACTCATTCACTGCCAAATGCAAGCATATGGAAGATGTTCTATGCGTTCATTATTGCGAAAGGAAGCAAGTTCAAAATTCGGGAAGATTCGTGGGGTGCTAAACACTCCTTCTTTGTGTCATTTACCCAAGTCTTTGTACAGTAGATTGCTTTAAAGAAGGATCAGTGACAGTGATGTAGGGATTCTATCTTATCTGCTTAGATCAGAATGTTGACTTGAGAAGAAAATTAAAGGACAGGAAATTTGATGAATGGCTGCTTCTCATTGAATTATTGGAAAATGGCTCCTAATCACCTTGAATATCAGTTAATTAGGAACTTGAACTTGGAAGAGATATCTCTCCGGTTGTTAGTCTTGATGCTCATTGGCAGCAACAAGCTGGTACATGTTATACAAGTGTTTTGATTTGGCTCACAGTATGCATGAAGAGCGAACGTTAGTGCCCGTGGAGACTTTTTTGGGTTGGTGGTTTAAATGAAAATCTAAGGAGCTATACTTTGGATAGGAAGGAACAATAAAATTTTAAAAGAGAGCATTAGAGGTTTTTGAAATCCGAACCGTACCGTGCCTCCTTTGGGGCTAAACTCCCCAAAACTTCTTGTTTCCTGTTAGTGTTATCAACATGGATCAATGTCCTTTTATAGAATCCTCTTTTCTAGTTCGAGAGGAGATGTGCCTCATCTCCTTGTCGTGTTTCTATGTCTTCCTCATATTTGTTGTTATAATGATATGCTAAGTATCAACATATCATTTAACCACCTCTGTTTTTGTTTTTGAACAAGAATCATACTTTTAATGATACTTGAAAAGACAAAGTTTCCTATATTATGCTATATACTATGGTGAAGGCTCGTCTTTGGTGATCAGAAGTTGCCTTACCTAAGCATCTTGCTGGAAGTTACGTACCTCTTGAGAACAATGTCTATATTTGGAGCTAGGGTTGACAAGTAAATGGTGGCTTGAGTGTGTAGGAAATAAGTTATGTCAATTATTCGTGTCGTGTAAGCCATCATAAGTTGACCTAGTGGTCTAGATAGGCCATGAATATAATAAAGGGTTTAGAGGGAATGAGTTCAAGCTATGGTGACAACCAACCTAGTTTAATATCTTACAAATGCAGTAGAGTTAGATGGTTGTCTGGCAACAATAATCATGGTGCATGTAAGCTGGCTCAATCAAACATACAAATATTTTTTTAAAAAAAAACTTGTAGAGAAAACTGGCCGAATGAGCTCCAATGCCTGTATTCGAAATGCTCTAGTTGAATTTTTTTGTGTTCTTTACTCTTGGAATTTTAGAGGCCCGTCTCAAATGAAATTGTAATGTTAAAAGCCCTTCTTATGAATCGTTGTATGACTTAGAGGATGTTTTTTTATCATACCCCTTAGACGTTTTTCGATTGTTAAAAGCCGTTCTCAAGTTATTGTCTGGACTGTCAGAATGGTTAGACGTTCTAAGCAAATGAACTTGTAACTGCAGGAAAACGTTTTAGACACCAGACTTCGAAGATGAAGCTGCCGTGCATAGTTTTATTATTATTATTTTCCTATTCCCTTTCACCTAACTAATTTTTTTAAAATAGTATTCTAGGTGTTCCACTTGTTTTAGTAAATTATCTTGGTTTGGTTTTTATATGACACAGATATGCTGCAGAGTCTAGTGTTATTAGGTATGCAAAGATTGCAATGCAGCTACCAAATAAGACCGTACGAGATGTTGCTTTGCGTTGCAGATGGATGAATGTCGGTTCTTTTTCTCAGTTCTTGCCTTTATCAACATATAAATTATTTACAAGATTTCTGTTACTTGACTTGAAATCATGCATACCATTAGCATGGTAATTGGTACGATTTTGTCCTTGGATGCGTCTTTGCTTGAAGATCCATGAAGTTCTTGTTTCCAATAGGTTTTGCTAAACAAAGTAGGTTTAAATACATATATGTATTCTTATTGTATGTCTTTAAATGGTCTGAATGTTAATGCATCCACATGATTATCCCCCTTCTGACAATTTTGGATTAAAAAAGGAAATAACGATTTTATAATCATGTTTCTCTCTTTTTTTAACCCAAAAGAAAATAATAAATTTGTACCTGACACTTGCAAGTTGTTTACCAACCAAAGCTAGATTTTTTTAATCAACTTTTTTTTATGTGGTTCCTTGTGGTCGGTCTATTTGAATATGACATTTAATGTGAGATCCCACATTGGTTGGGGAGGAGAACGAAACACCCTTTATAAGGCTGTGAAAACCTCTCCCTGGCAAATGCGTTTTAAAAACCTTGAGGGAAAGCCCGAAAGGGAAAACCCATAGAGGACAATATTTGCTAACGGTGGGCTTGAGCCGTTACAAATTGTATCAGAGCCAGACACCAGGCGATGTGCCAGTGAGGAGGCTATTCCCTGAAGGGGGGTGTGCCAGTGAGGAGGTTGTTCCCTGAAGGGGGTAGACATGAGGTAGTGTGCCAGTAAGGATGCTGAGCACCGAAGGGGGTGGATTTGGTGGGGGTCCCACATCGATTGGAGAAAGGAACGAGTACCAGCGAGGACGCTGGGCCTGAAAGGGGGTGGATTGTGAGATCCAACATTGGTTGGGGAGGAGAACGAAACACTTTTTATAAGGGTATGGAAACCTCTCCCTAGCTGACACGTTTTAAAAACCTTGAGAGAAAGCCCGAAAGGGGGAGCGCAAAGAGGACAATATCTGCTAGCGGTAGGCTTTGGCCGTTACATTTAAGGCACTCTATCATCAGCTATGGACATCTTTAAACTTCTATATCTTCATTTTCTGGTTCTATTTTATTTATACTCTCACTGTTTCTGTTTTACTTATTTTGGTCAGAAAAAGGAAAATAGCAAGAGAAGGAAGGAAGAACACAATTTATCAAGAAAAAATAAAGATAAAAAGGTATCTTGTAAATAATTGGTGCATTATTTGTGCTCTCTCTGTCTCTTTGGTTCACTTTTTAGTTTTCTTTTTATTGGTTTATGTTCATTTGTTACATGCAGCATATGCACTAGTTATACTTTTTAAGTACCTAATAAGTGTCCAATTACCACCAATTACCATCTTGAAGGTCAATGATTCTACTCCTACCCTTACAATTGTTCTTCATTGCTTTATTTTGTTTCTTGTATTTTCGGGGAATCCCTCGTCTTTTTGGTTTGGTCGTTTCTTATTTTTACATCCTATGGGAGCTTGTTTCCTTGAACTTTATCTTTCTTTTCATATATCAATTTGTTTCTGGTTAAAAGAAACCCTGCACACACATAACATCTTATTTTTCCATTAAAACAACCTTGTTGTGTTTGTGTTTCAGTGTTGAGTTTTTAGTGAACGAAACATTGCTATATCTGTGCCTCGAAGGGCCAGGATACTTAATTTTTACGTGATACAATCCAACGACTGCCACCAACTGCATGAGGAACTAGTCCCTTTCATTAACACCCACTTAAGTTAGCCATTTCTTCCAGCATGCTCATAGAGATGGGGAATGATATTTTCTTTGTTTTAGGAAAGAGTATCGATCGGATCCTTCAATGAAGTCAGCACAGGTTGCAGCAAGGCCTAATGTGCCTCCTTATGGAATGCCTATGATTCCTATGGACAATGATGATGGTGTTTCATTTAAAGGTTTTGTTTCTTTACTCTTCCTTCACTACTACGTGTATTGGGCTGTTGCAGCTCCCACTTTTCGTTATCTTAACACGAAAGATCAGGTAGCAAATTTCATGATCTGTTATTAATATGCATTAGGTAATTTTCTTAAAAGAAAAGAATAGACTTTCAGTTAGTAAATCCTAGAATAGTTATTCAACTGCCGTGCTTGTTCTCCTGTATAGCTTAACTAACTCCCATTTTTTTTTCTCTAATTTTTTACTCATGTCTGTGGGTTTTTGAAGATATAAATGATATCATGAAGTGTGATTGTCTTTCTGTGAGATCCCTCATCGGTTGGGGATGAGAACGAAACACCCTTTATAAGGGTGTTCCGTTCTCCTCCCCAACCAATGTCGGATTGTGGGATCTCACGATCCACCCCCATTCANTTTTCTCTAATTTTTTACTCATGTCTGTGGGTTTTTGAAGATATAAATGATATCATGAAGTGTGATTGTCTTTCTGTGAGATCCCTCATCGGTTGGGGATGAGAACGAAACACCCTTTATAAGGGTGTGGAAACCTTTCCCTAGCAAACGTGTTTTAAAAACCTTGAGAGATCACTATTCGTTTTTGTTGGGTTTCGGTGCTGTAAAATAGGGTGTGACTGCTTTCAGTTCGAGAATATCTGGGTGTAATACACTCAATTGCTTCTATCTGTTGATGGTGGCAAAATAAACCTCCGCAGGTTAGCCTGGTCATGGGCTTATGCAAAAGCGTGAAAGATTGAAATTTGCATTCAAAGCTTGGAATCTGAAAAGTTCGGCTGCTTCACTTCTTAGTTGGGTGAGCTACTAAAGGAGCTTCTATTAATTGACTATTAAAGACAGTTACTGTAATGGCTCAAGCTCACCGCTAACCGATATTGTCATTTTTAGACTTTTCCTTTCGGGCTTCTACTTAAGGTTTTTAAAACACATCTGCTAGGGAAAGGTTTCCGCACCCTTATTAAGGGTGTTCCGTTCTCCTCCCCAACCAATGTCGGATTGTGGGATCTCACGATCCACCCCCATTCAGGGCCTAGCATTCTCGATGAGACTCTTTCCTTTCTCCAATCGATGTGGGACCCCCACCAAATCCACCCCCCTTCAGGGCCCAGCGTCCTTACTGACACACCGCCTCGTGTCTACCCTCTTCAGGGGAGCAACCTCCGCGCTGGCATATCGCCCAGTGTCTGGCTCTGATACCATTTGTAACGGTCCAGACCCACCACTAACAGATATTGTCCTCTTTGGGCTTTCTCATTCGAGCTTCCTCTCAAGGTTTTTAAAACGCGTCTGTTAGGGAAAGGTTTCCACACCCTTATAAAAGGTGTTTCGTTCTCCTCCTCAACCAATGATGGATTGTGGAAATCATGCTGTAGAGGTCTTCAATCAAAGAAAAGCCTCTCTCTGTTGCCACGAAGGCCGAAATGTTCTAGCGGCTGAAAATGCAGGGCTAAACGACGGTGGGAAGGAGACAAAAATATTGTTTTTTCCATCGTCTTGTTGCCTCCAAAAGAAGGAAAAACACCATCAATGAAATCCTTTCCAGAAAAGGGATTAGCCTCCTTCATGAACCAGATATAGAAGAGGAGGAAGAGGAAGGTAATGGTAATTAAACTCGATAGGCCATGATATAGTTGATAGGGATTGCTTGGAAGGAATTTGAAAGTCGGTAACGTCGGTTCCTGTTGGAGAAGTAGGATTAGGACATGTATCTCATCCACAAAATTTCGGTTTATCTCTGGTAGAAGAAAACAAAAAAAGATATATCAATGAGATTATTAATCAGAAGATATATCTGTAGGCTTCGGACCCCCCGGAGATGTATTTCAAAGGTGTAGATGGGGAATGATTCAAGTATTCTGTTTTGGCATGATCTTTGGCGTGGTGATGCTAGTTTCCCTTGATTATTCGGTATTTCTTCATTTCCCGATGATTCAATTTTAAGTTTTCGGGTTCCTCTCGGTCTTGCTCGGAAAATTATCTTTAGAAGGCTTTTAAAAGATAAGGATACAAATGATTTCAACCGACGGCTGGCAGTGTTACCCCGGGTTTGAAGATTCAAGGAGATGGAGTGTTTGGAGGCTTGGGGTGTATTTTCTGTCAAATCTCTCTCTAGCAAATGGGCTATTTTGTCTCCATTGTCAAACAATTTGTTCTTTTCCTTGTGAAAGTAAAAAAGTCCAAAAAGAATCAACTTTCTTTCTTGGATTTTGCTTAATAGCTGGATGTTGTCAACATGGTCATCATGTTATACTTCAAAAAGCGGACGACTCACCCTAATACAAGCCACATTATCCAACCTCCCCACTTACTACATGTCTCTATTTGAAATGCCTCAAAAAGTGGTCGTAGATATAGAAAGATTATTCAGAAACTACTTGTGGAAAGATGGCCCGCACCTTGACCGATGGAATATTATAAACCTCCCAATAGAAAAGGGAGGCCTTGGTCTTCTCTCGATAAAGAACAAGAACAAAGCTCTCCTTGCCAAAGGGATGTGGAGAATCATCACGAAGAAAAGGCCTTGTGGAGAAATCTTATAAAGGCCAAATATACTCCTACGTTAAACAAAAATCAACCCCCTCCATCTTCTATAAAAGGACCCTGGAAGTACATAAAGAAACATCAAACCCTCATTACCAATCGAACTTGCCATAGGGTGGGTGATGGAGGAAGCACATAATTTCGGACCGACCCATGGTTTGAAAACACCATGCTAGACCTGAGGTATCCACTTTTGTATAGGCTCTCTCATAGCAAAAAAGCCACGATCAAAGAAACGTGGAGTGTTGTCAACAAATTCTGGGACGTGAAGCTTGGTAGGAATTTAAAGGATAATGAAGCAATGGAATAAGCCGAATTAAGCCTTGTCCTTGCCCCTGTGGTATTGTCAAACAAATGAGACTCACTGACTAGCCTCCTCAGCACTAACGGGGTCTTTTCTACAAAATCCTTGTTGATGGACATGGAGGAAAAAGTAGAAGCAATAAATCCCACGTTACCAAAAACATGGAAACAACATTAGCCTAAAAAGGTGATGCAATGCACATACGAATCACAAAGCCAAGTATTCATGCAATGCACATACGCTCAAAATTTCTAGACAAAGATTCTCAATATATTCGAATGACATCTCACATTAAAGGATCTATTGGATATGACCTTAACGTACCACCTTTTCAAGAATGCAAAAGCTCTACTATGGAAAACCTTCATTATGAATTTGTTTTGGAACCTGTGGAAAGAATGAAATCAGAGAGTATTTGCAGAAAAGACACAAACTTATACAAAACTTTTCGACAATGTTGTTTACGAAGCTATATCTTGGTGTAAACTATCTTATATTTTTTGAAGGCGTGTTCCAAAGAGGAACATATTTTTCGTTCGTTGGCCACTTAATGTATATTGTGCATAACATTTGCATTTGGTTATTGTGATGGTTTCAGCTATTGGTGGTACAACTGGAGATCTTTTTGAACAGAATGCACATGCCATGAATCAAATTTCTTCTAACCTTGCATCTTTTCAGGTAAACAACTTGGCTGTCTGGATGTTGTTTTAGCATTTTTATAACCATTTCTAGATGATTATCGGCAATTTTTTCTATCAGCTATCTCTGATATATTAACTTCTGAACTGGATAGCAAGATTTGCACTCACTGTTGGTTATGAGTCCGAATTACAATGGAGACTTCTTTTTTCATTTTTTTCGCGTCGTCTAATACTTATGATACCGCTTTTTCGCAGTTGATTTTACGAGCAAGTATTTGTTTTTTCCTTTCCATTTTAACATTTAATTTCTTTTAGTTATAACTTCTTTTCCAATGATTATTTTGCATTGAGAATCCATTTATATAAGACCCCTTCATATTTTGAAACTTCATTAACTTTTCAAGTTATGCTTATGGGTGAAATGTAACGGCCCAAGCCCACTGCTAGTAATTATTGTCCTCTTTGGACCTTTCCTCAAAGTTTTTAAAACACGTTTGCTAGGGAGAGGTTTTCACATTTTTATAAAGAATGTTTCGTTTTCCTCTCAAATTGATGTGAGATCTCACAATCCACCCCCTTCGAGTCCAGTGTCCTTGTTGGCACTCGTTCTCTTCTCCAATTGGTGTGGGACTCCCCAATCCACCCTCTTTAGAGCCCAACATCTTTGCTGGCACACCGCTTCGTGTCCACTCCCTTCGGAGCTCATCCTCTTCGTTGGCACATCGTCCGGTGTATGGCTCTAATACCATTTGTAACAACTCTAGGTAAGTAGAAATTTAAGTTTTGAAGTCGGAGGAGACTTCACATCCCCTGTGTTCCCCTGGGGTGAAATTTTGTGGGCTGTGGATATTTGTTTGAATCTGTGAGCACTGATTCTCTTCTTCTGTAGAAGTTCTTGCCTTTTTATTTTTAAAAATCACTTAATGGCCTTTACCAAGCCTTTCATTTGACTGGTTCTATGATTATATTTGTAATATGAACATATATAACTGTCCATTCCAGCATATTCTTTCTAAAACTGAAACATGGAATGTGGCTATAGCTGGAAATATTTGATCATTTGATAATGGGAATGTTGATGTACTGATTTTTGTATGAATTCTTGCCAGACGCCATAATGTTTTTTTTTTTTTTTATAGGATTAGACAACATAATGTTTGAACTAATAATGTTTTGTTTTATGTAGATACAAGATAATATCGGTCTCTTCTGCCAAACGCGGGATAACATCCTCAAAATAATGAGCGAGTAAGTAATGTTTTATTCCTCCCGTTGTAAGAGTAATGCTCCCCTTATTTTTCTTGAACATTCTTGCTGTAATGGCCCAAACCCATCCCTAGCAGATATTGTCCTCTTTTGACTTTCCCTTTAGACTTCCCTTCAAGGTTTTTTAAAATTCGTTTGCTAGGGAGATGTTTTCATACCCTTATAAAAAATGTTTCGTTCTCGTCTCCAACCAATGTGGGATTTCACAATCCACCCCGCTTCAGAGCCCAGCGTCCTCACTGACATTCGTTCTCTTCTCCAATCGATGTGAGACCCCTCAATCCACCCCCCTTCGGGGCCAGTGTTCTTGCTGGCACACCGCCTCGTGTCCACTATCTTTTGGGGCCAGCATCCTTACTGGCACACTGTCTCGTATCCACCCCTTTCAGGGTTCAACCTCCTTGTTGGCACAGTATCAGGTGTTTGGCTTTGATACCATTTGAACGGTCCAAATCTACTACTAGCACATATTGTCATCTTTTAGTTTTCTCTTTCGAGTTTCCCCTCAAGGTTTTTAAAACGCGTCTACTAGGGAGAGATTTCCACACCCTTATAAAGGATACTCCGTTCCCCTCTCCAACCGACGTGGGATCTCACAATCCACCCCCTTTAGCGTCCAGCGTTCACGCTGACACTCGTTCCCTTTTCCAATCGACGTGGGACTCCTCAATCCACTCCCTTTTGGGACCCAGCGTCTTTGTTGGCACGCCTCCTCATGTCCACCCCCCTTCAGAGCTCAGCCTCCTCGCTGACACATCGCCTGATATCTAGTTCTAATATCATTCGAACGGCTTAAGCCCACTGCTAGCAAATATTATTCTCTTTGAGCTTTTCCTTTCGGGATTTCCCTCAGAGTTTTTAAAACGCATCTGTCAGGGAAAGGTTTTCACACCCTTATAAAGAATCCCTCATTTCCATCTCCAACTGATATGGTATCTCACACGTCGTAATTCATAAGTAAAAGGTCGGTTTTAGCAATTAAGACCAATCAATTTGGTTTCTTGTTTTCATAAATTAGTTTCGTGGCATAGCTTGCTCGAATCGTCCAGTTACTAATTCCTCCGACTCTTGGTAAGCCGACCCTTTAACACTGCTACAATCTTAGCTATGAGAATTCATGCTACTAGTAGAGCTGTCAGGATATTTAGCATTAAAAGCCTTCACTGAAGCAGAATTTTCCAGAAAAACTTGGTGTTGAACTTACCTTCAATCTTCATGGTTGCAGCTTAAACGAAATGCCGGAAGTAATGAAGCAGATGCCGCCTCTTCCGGTGAAGGTGAACGACGAGTTAGCGAACACGATCCTTCCACCGACTGCTCATTCCATGCAATGATGAAAGATGTTCAACAAAAACTGGTTCAGCAGCTACAGATTCTCCCTTTCAAATCACTTCCTGATTCAGAATTTTCTGCATATCATCAATTTTTTGTTGTTGTTGCTTTAGCATATATGGATTCATACATTAGCGTAGATTGTAACTTAGATGCTGTGTAATAATTAGGAATGTTTTTCTTTCTAATGGTCTGGGAAATGGAAAGTAATAAACAATGGTTGATTATTTGTATGTCGTGTTTCCCTTCTTTCGCTGCTCTGCTTCGTGTCGAAGTTTACTTATACTTTATCACGATAGGAAGGCGTTTTGTTTGTTTATTCATGAATAAAGATGTCTACAGGACGAGGGAGGGATCGAGAAGCTTTCTCCATTTCAGTCTCCACTTCCTCCTTCATTTCCCGTTCTTGTAAATTTTGTCGTTTATTTTTACGAGAATTAATTTATTTTTTCATTTATAATTATTTGTTTAAAATTAATTCTTCCAAATTTGAAGAGGTATCTTTTTAAATAAATATTATAACAGCCTTTTATTCATTTTTTAAATATAATTTTAATTTAAATATCATAATCCTAGTATCTGTTGTAATATACATATAATAATATTTATAATAAACTCCAAAGTTTATTGTTTTGATTTTCAATTTCTCAAAATTTGGGTTGGAAATAAAATGATATATATAACTTATTTATTATAATTTATAATAGAAATAGAGATAGAAATATATATATATTATTTTTATTGTTTGGATGAGAATTCATAGGGTATATCTATTATTAGCATGAGAATGAAGAATTAATTTTTAACCACAAAAAAGAAAAAAGAAAAAAGAAAAAAGAAAAAAAAGTCCAAAATTAGGATGTTGATTCACATATAAATACCATCGATCTGCTTCATTCTTCCTCAGGCAATCAGCAAACAATCTAAGGCTTCTTCGGTTCCATCACTCTCCTCGCAATCAGAAGTGAGTTTTCCGCCGGAGAAACCCTAATTCATCCTCATCCGCCATGGAAATGAAGAACATCGCCTGCACTGCCCTCTTCACCGCCGCTGCTGTCACTGCAGTTGTGGCCTCCGATGAGTCTCACTCTCCCGCTGCCGCTCCTGGGCCGAGCAGCGCCGCCTCCGCCGCTCTTCCCGCCCTTGGATCGCTTATCGGTGCCTCGCTTGTTTCCTTCGTCGCCTACGTATTGAACTGAAGCCCGAGGGAGATTCTATAATTCGATTTGATTTTTTATTTTGTTTTGGATTTCCGTGGACGATGTGATGCTAGTCAAATTTCAAAATTAATAAAGAATTTGGATTCATTATCATATTACAAATCACCTCTTTTATTTACATTGCTAGAAAAAATTCATTAAATATTTTATAATTGGTATTATTGTTCTTATTATTGTTATTGCTAATGCATAAATAATTGATAGAATTCCGCTCGGGGTAGGACCCTCATAGCTGCTAGTACTTATTTTGACTACTGTATTGGGAATCACAATCGGCATTAGAAAGTGAAAAATATCCGCTGTGATATGGGCCTTATTGAGTAATTCCTTTTGGTTATTGCCTTGTTTTAGCAGTTCTGCAGATCGGTGTTTTTTTATTGATTGCTATTTGAAGTGTTTTTTTATGTCAGTACTACATCCTTGATCTCTTGAAAGAGTCAATTAATGAATTAGCTACTATTGAATATTCTAAATAAATCTTGAAATTCAAAACTCCCCATCAAGACTAAGACAAGAGTAGGAGTTTCAGAACCGATGACTTACGCCTATTTCTTTGGGCGTTTAAAGAGCGTGACTCTACCGCTTAGTTCAAAAAAGGGCCCATTTGATTCTGAGTTTACCCATCCATAATGGGTGAGTTTACTACTCTACCGCTTAGTTTAAAAAAAGGGTCCATTTGATTATGATATTAATTTTTTAGCAAAATTACAATTTTGGTATCTGGTATTAATTTTGATATCGAGAATAGAGGTTGATTATGAAAAGAAGAGATTCGTATATGTAAATGTAAAAGAGACAATTATTTTACCACTACACAATCGCACTTTTAAAGGCAGCGGACTAGCGATTGTGCGACACTCACTTTCCAACGACAAGTGAGCTAAGCCCAATTTGTACTTGCGTATAAGCAAGCAAGAGAGAGATAACAACAAAACGAGGGTAGAGAGAGACATTATATAAGCAAGCAAGAGAGAAATAACAACAGCTTTAGGGAGAAGTTGACAATTCCAAAAATTTTCTAAAAGTTTAAAATATGGTATTAATAGTTTTGTTCATATATTAATAAGAGTATTTTTTTAACTTTTTAAACAAATTTAAAGATATATTTTTTTTGTTTAAATACTTCTAAAATTATTAAAAATGTTTTTGAAACAACATAAAAAAAAAATTATTTTTTTTTAAATATTTTTAACGTTTGAAAAGTATTTATGACACAACTTGGCAATACTTTTATTAATTTATTCTTAATTTTTAGAGTTAAAAAAAGTATTATTTAGGTAAATTATTTATTTATTTTTTGTATATACTAATTTATATTATATTGATAGAGATATTTATGACATTTATTTTGTAGGTATTATATATGGCTTTCCACTATTTTTATTTTATTTTATTTTATTTTTTGGTCCACTCTCTTGGTAACATTCTTAAGCAATCTCGAACCCTAAACTCTAAAATATTTCAACCTTTTCACACACATCGAAGAATGTTCAAGCAAACCCATATTCCCACACCAAATCCAAAGAACCCGCTTCAAATGGATCTCTCGACATTTCATACGACATAGTCATGTTACCTATTTTTTGCTTTTTAAGAGAGAAAACTATCTCCAAAAACCAACACGAGTCATTTCAACATGTTTTGTCCTCACTCACATGCATCCTGGAAAAATTCTCAAGAGATCACCCAACATAGAATTGTTTCAAATAAAACACGTTTAACCATGAAGTTCCTATAATTGAAGCAAAGAAAAAAAAAGTGCACCTTGTTAATATAGGTAGTGTATGTGGTATCAATTCATTAATATATCTTTCCTCTACTCGGGTGTCACATGACTGTTTTAAAATTGTCATCTTTATAGCGTCATTGTAAGGTACAGTGACATTTATTCACAAACGAAAGTGACCCATATGATGAAGTTACATACTTTCATATTTTTTTAACAAATAAATTGTGTTCTGTCACAAAAGACGTAGTAGAATGTCGGAATCATCAAGTACCGAACCCAGATTTCGAATCCTGGGTAAAAACGTAATCAATCTAATTATTTACGTGTTCGTTTCTCGAGTATTTAATTTAATTTTTTATATTATTCGTAATTTTTACAATAATTTAAGAATGTAAAAAGGGTAGCATTTTTTTGTTGGCATCCATTTAAGACTTCATATAAAGAGAGACGTCTAGAGAATTCAGAGTTTTTGACTTTTTCTCTAAATTTGCGCTTTAATTTCCTCAAAGTTGAAAATTCAAGAAAAATATTTAAAATATTTAAAAAATCATTTTGGTCCTATTTTGAAATTTATTTCATTTTAAATAATAAAATTATTATTTAATCAACCTCGATAAAAAAAAAATAATAATAATAAAAAATTACGTTCTCAATTAATTTATAATAGATCTCTAAATTTTTTATTTTTTTAATATTTTTTAAAAAAATTTAACTAATTTATTAAACATAAAATTAAACCCATTTAAAAATTTATTAAATATAAAATAAAATTAAAAGTTAATCAATTAAAATTTTAAAAAATTATTTTTAACAATTAAAAAAAATTCTAAAAAGTTTCCTCCGTATGAACAGATGCAAGGAAGAAACACCATCACCAACCCCTTCATTTATTTTAATGGAAGAATGACTTCTTTGACTGCAATTTCTAGAGAGAGAAAGAGAGAGATTAATGATTTTGGTCAAATGAATTTTCAGACAAAACCCATTTGAAAACATCAGTGATTATATTACATAACACAAACCATTTTGGATTAAGTTGAAGAACACCAACTTTCTCTCTCTAGAATCATCATCATCATCATCAATGGTTTCGTTGAGTTCCACTTTAATGGAGTTGATATCAAAATGTTCTAAGCCTACTTTTTTTTTATAAATAAATAAATCAATCAAATCCCTCTGTTTCAGCTTCGCAGACCAATTTCCGATTGGCCTCTGTTTTTTCTTCCCTTCTAAAAGGTTGAAGATGTTCATATTAATGCGAAAATTTTGGAGGGATTTGATTTCTTACCAGTTTCTCTCTCCTCCATGGTAGTTTCTCTCTCCTTTCTTGTGAATTTGGGCAGTCTGTTTTTGTTTTAGAACCCAGAATGGGATCAAGAAATGGAGGTGAAGTGATGGGAATTGCTCTGTTTTTGTTGTTGGTGAGTTGGGGATGGATTTTCCCGGAAACTGTGGGACAGAAAATTTCGTCTTCTACCTCTCTGCTGCTACAAGATGATGATGATGGTAAGGATAAAAGCTGATGTTTTTAGTTATGGAAAAAGATGGGTTTCATGGATGAGTTTTGCAGGGAGAGAGTTGGTGCAGAGAAATGATGGGTTTGAAGCAATCATGGAAGAAGATGATACTGTTAGAGATGATCCTTTGAACCATTTCAACAAGTATAGAGGTGGATATAACATCACCAACAAACACTATTGGAGTGTAAGTTTTCTCTCCCATTCATTGCTTCGATTCTGTTCGGTTCGATTCCGTTCCGTTCCGTATTTCATTAACTAGTGCAAACTTGGATTCTGTAACCGTGCAAGCCTACTGCTAGTAGATATTGTCTGCTTTGACACGTTAAAAAGCGTTTGTTAGAGAGAGGTTTGCACACCCTTATAAGAAATGTTTTGTTCTTCTCTCCAACTGACGTGAGATTTCACAATCCATTTCTCTTTGATTGGAGGGGTGAACGAAACATTATTTTTTATAAGAGTGTGAAAATCTCTCACTAGCATACATGTTTTAAAAACCGTGAGGTTGAGAACGATACGTAACAGGCCAAAACAGACAATATTCGCTAACGATGGGCTTAGATGGTTACAAATGGTATTAGAGCCGAATACTAGGCGGTGTGCGAGCAAATGCTGGCCCCCTAAAGAGGTGGATTGTGAGATCCCATGTTAGTTGCATAAGGGAACAAAACATTCGTTATAAAAACGTGGAAACCTCTCCTTAGCAAACATGTTTTAAAACATGTGAGGCTGACGGCTATAAGTAACAGCCAAGGCAGATAGTATTTGTTAGCAGTAGACTTGGGGTATTACAAATGGTATCAAAGTCAGACAGTGTGCCAGCAAGAACACTAGGCACCTAAGGGGATGGATTTTGAGATCCCACATTGATTGGAGAGGGAACCGAATAATTTCTTATAAGGGTGTGGAAACCTTTCCCTAGTAGACACGTTTTAAAAACTGTGAGGCTGACAACGATATGTAACGGGCCAAAGCGAACAATATTGCTAATGATGAGCTAGGGCTGTTATAGAATCAGTTAGATTGATCGAGTTTTTGGGATATCGAAGCTTTTAAACACTGAGGCGGCCGACACAGAGTTGACTTTTTAATCTTGTTGTTGGTTTCAGTCAACAATATTCACAGGAGCTGCAGGGTATGGGATTGGAGTGGCATGGCTTGTGTGTGGAATGGTCTATGGATCAATTTTGGCTGCAACTCAGAGCTGTGGGAAGGCAAGGGGAAAGGGAAAGGGAAGGATAAATTATGGGCACAAATTTTACCTATGGACCATACTTTTGGCTGCTTTCTTCACCATTTTAACAATGTAAGTCTCTTTATATGGAACCCCTCAACTTTACATTACATATTTACAGTGAGAAAATGACTGTGTTGTTGATGTTTTTAACAGCGTGGGCTGTGGAGTGGTGATTGGAGGAAGCAGTAACTTTGATAGGGAGGCAAAGAACATAGTGAAGATTGTAATAGAGACAGTCAATGGAGCATCAAACACCATTCAAGACACAACCTCAGCTATGAAAGACATGATTGCTAACTTAGAAGCTTCTACTTCTGATAGTGGAAGTGAGCAAACTTCTGGAGCTTTGATTTCTACTTCTCACCAACTTGATGCTCAAGCTGCAACTATTCAGTGGCAAGCCAATAAGAACAGGCACTTGATCCATAAGGGCCTCAACATAATGTACGTTAACTTACTAGTTCTGTTCATAGATTTATTAGACACGTGTAACAGTTCAAGCTCATCGTTAGGAGATATTGTCCTTTTTGGGATTTTTCTTAAGGACTTTCCAAATTTTTAAAACGCGTCTATTAGGAAGAGGATTCCACACCTTTATAAAGAGTTTTTTGTTCTTCTCCTCAATTGATGTGCGATCTCACAATCCACTCCTCATTAGGGCCAAGCGTCCTTGCTTGCACACCGTCTCGTATCCACCCCTTTTCAGGGCTTAGCCTCCTCGTTGGTACGTTGCCCGGTGTTTGGCTCTGATACCATTTGTAAGTCCACCGCTGGCAGATACTATCCTCTTTGGGCTTTCACTTTTGGACTTCCTCTTAAAGTTTTTAAAACGTGTCTACTAGGGAGAGGTTTCCACACCTTTATAAAGAATGTTTCATTCTCCTTCCCTATTGATGTAGGATTTCATAACACAAGACCGAGCTGATAAGTTCTTGGATATTATCTTGATGAGGGTATTGAAGAGGATGTTTGTGTGGTTTGCAGGTACATAGTGACCATGGTTACAATGTCCTTGAACTTGGGAGCTGTAATTGCTATGTCTGGTGAGTTTGTGTGGTTTCTTAAAGACAGCTAACTTTGTCCAAGAATTTCAATTTTTGTGATGTAATTTGTTTGTTTGTTTTGTTTGCAGTATTTGGTATTCTCAGATTACGAAGACCATTTCACTTGTAAGCATTTTTATCCATCTATTACTGTCCGATCGCACATTGGTTAGAGAGAAAAATGAATGTCAGTGAAGATATTGGGCTCCGAAGGAGGTAGATTGTGAGATCCAACATTGATTAGAGAGGGAAACGAGAGTCAGTGAGGATGCTGACCTCAAAGAAGGGTGGACTGTGAGATCTCACATCAGTTGGAGAGGGAAACACGAAATCTTTATAAAGATGTGGAATCCTCTTCCTAGTAAATGAATTTTAAAAACTTTGAAGGGAATCCCGAAAGAGAAAACCCAAGGACAATATCGACTAACGGTGGACTTGGGTTTAGTCGGCTACACTTACCCATCAAATCTCAATGTTCATTCTCACAAAACACAACAAAACATCCTTAAAAGAAGCTTGCTTTGTTTTTCTTGCAGTTTCATTGTCTTCTGCTGGCTTCTCACAGTTCTCTGTTGGATCTCCTTTGGATTGTACCTTTTCTTGAACAAGTAACTCTCTCTCCCTCTCTATTTTCCGTTTGAACTTCAAATTTTCTCCTTGTTTGATCGGGTTTTAACATTCTCTTGCATCTCGTGTGATTTCATCACATTACTTATTTTTCGTTTTTAAGAGTGAAGACTATCTCTACATATAAATACAGGTCATTTTAACATGTTTTGTTCTTACTCACATGCATTTTAAGAAAATTCTCAAGAGATCACCTGTGGAAATCCCACATTGGTTGGAGAGAAGAACGAAGCATTCTTTATAAGGGTGTGGAAACCTCTCCCTACCAAACACGTTTTAAAAATCTTGAGAAAGCTCGAAAGGGAAAACCTAACATATTTCAACCTGTTTTATCTTTACTCACATGTGAACAACGGCTAACCGCAAAACGTGCCGTTTCTATGATTGAACCATCGAAAAAGAAAGTACATTTTGTTGGTATAAGTCGTAACATTAATTCTTTTAACCTTTTCTTAGTTATCATATCTTGAAGATCGCTCTCAGTGAATATTGATTTTATTGTTTGATATCAGTTTCTCGAGTGACACGTGCACAGCTCTTGAAATGTTTCAAGAAAATCCCAACAACAACAGCCTCAGTTCTATTCTCCCATGTGAGCAACTGCTAACTGCAAGATCAGTTCTTACTGATGTAAGTTCAGAGATTTATGATCTTGTTAATCAGGTAATTTTTTTTTTTTTTACCCTAAATGATCTTTTTTTTTATCTGCATTCATCATGAACAAGCTTACAAAACATATATAGTTGGGTTAACTGATAAAACTACCTACAATTTTAACCTTTTTACTTCTTTTTGTTTTTGCAGGTTAACACACAAATTTCAGTATCATATCCAGACATTGCTCTGGTCTGCAATCCTTTCTCACAACCTCCATATTATGAATACCAACCTCAAAACTGCGCAGCAAATACCATTCGTATCGGAGACATCCCGAAGGTAAATACGTTGGTCTAAGCTTAAATTTGTATGATTTTTGTGAGATCCCACGTCGGTTGGAGAGGAGAACGAGTGCCAGCGAGAATGCTGGGCTCCGAAGGGAGTGGATTACGAGATCCCACATCGGTCGAAGAGGGAAACGAAACACTCTTTATGAGGGTGTGGAACCCTCTCCTGCGTTTTAAAAGCTTTAAGGGGAAACCAGAAAGGGAATCCCCAAAAAAGACAATATCTACTCGTAGTGGACTTGGGTTGTTACCGTTTTACTTTTAGTTTACATTCAAGAGGTCTCCTGACAATAAAATTATTGCCCTTGGATTTCTTGTTAACACGTTTGGTCTAATTAACATATTTTTTAACATTATATACAAAGATGTCTACGAGTCAGGGTAGGGACAGGGATATAGAAGTCTTTCTCTTTCTCGTTTTTGTCCCCCCTCTTATTTCAATTTTCATTTGTGTGGAAATTTTCATTTATTTTTATGGGAATCGGGGCGGGTAGAGATTTATGGAGAATGGAGACCAGGAATATAATCCCCGTCACCAACTTCATTTAGCTAATGAGAAAAAATATCTTCCTACACACTATTTCATTCCCCATTTAAACAGGAATTTCTCATCAAGCCTGGAGGACCCCATTCCTAGGTTCAAAAGACATCTCTGAGTTGTATGACATATAGCCATGCAATGTTATACAACGAACAAGAGAAAAGCTTTCGAGTGACATGCAATAATACCTTGATGAGTATTTAGCAATACCCGTGTCACGTACTTTTTGATATCGACATTTCCATCGACAACGATCTTATCGTTCTTTCAGGTGCTAAAGCTACTCACATGTTCAAATGAAAGCAACGAAGGATGTGAAAATGGTCAATTCATGTCCAACTCCGAGTACAAAACTGTGGAGGCATACACAAACTCAATACAAGATTTCCTCAACGTGTATCCAGGAATGGAGAGCCTGGTGGAATGCCAAACACTGAAAGATGCCTTCGCCAAGATCCTGGAACACCACTGCAAGCCTTTGGAGAAATATGCGTACATGGTTTGGGCAGGGCTGGTTTTTGTGTCGGTTTTTATGATGTGTTTGGTCTTGGTTTGGACAATTAGAGCCATTGCTGACCAAAAACTCCACCTTTCAGATGGATCGGTACAGCCAGCCATTTCTTCAACTCCAAACATGTTGGAGATGGCTAATTATTGACACTTGTCATCACCTTGGTTAAGTTAGGATAGAATCGATCGGTAATCCCGAGAGTCCCGAGAAGCTCGCGTAAGCGAGCTCAGGGTATGTTCAAGTTAGAGCCAAAATACGTTTGTGTTTGTATATCGGCTAAAATTATACAAAATAACATAGTTAAATTCTTATCGATTAATAGATTTATGTTTGTATATGTAATGGATAAAAATTTTGTGCCGTTTGTAAATCGGTCAATAGATTTGTAGATAAATTTTTATCCACTATAGAAATAATTGTGTCAATTGATAGTCATTGCACAAAAATTGATCATTCACGAGTTCGTTCGTATTTATATTGAGTCAAAAGTTTATTTTATCTAATAAGTACTTAAGAACGCAAAATTATGCTCTCAGCTCCACAAATCAAAGAGCCAAGAGTTCATAACTTACTCAAGATATCGAGTCGCATATTATCATCTTGTGAAACCGACAGCTATCCGATGTTGTTCTTTTTGGACTTTCTCTCAAGACTTTTAAAATGCATAGGCTAAGGAGAGGTTTTCACGCCCTTATAAATAATGTTTTATTCTCCTCTGCCATCAATATGAGATCTCATACTCACTATATAGGATATCCTCACTAACATGTTTTTATACAGACAATTTAGATTAAATCATTTTGAAACAATTTTAAAATAGGTGGCTATTAAAAGTGTTATTTGGATAAGATAAGATAATTTTATCGTTATATTATTGACAAGAGTAAATTATTATTAAAAATTAAATACAACGAGAGTAAAATTTCAATTTTGCCCTTGCATTCTACGGATACCTTCCTCCCAGAAAAATAGAACGGAAAAAAATAATAAAAAAATATGATAAAAATGCAGCGACGGCCATCTTCACCAGGATCATCGCCCGTTGAGCTCGGAGACTGCCTGGAAGAGCTGCTCAAGTTCACGCTCCAATCTCACATCGATGGAGCCCTAGAGCATGATCTAGGCTTATCTGCAGAGTTCTGCTCCCACCTCCTGAATGACGATCTTCCTCGACCCAATTTAGATCGCCCTGGTACTGAAAATATGAAACCTTAGTTTATCATTTTCGGGAGAAGTAGAAGAAATTGGTCCTTTTGAATTCGTATTTCTCTCTGTTGATTCTGAAATTCACTTCGGTCCATGGTTTTGGTGGCGGATTTAGTGGTGAAGGAGAAGTGTATCACTGCATATTAGATTCTGGTTCTTTTTTTTTTAGATAATGGAACTTTATGAGTGTAGTGTTGAGGATGGTTGGCTAATTTAGGAATGATCATGGGTATCTCCATTAGTATGAGGCATTTTGGGAAGCCCAAAGCAAAGCCATGAGACCGGACAATATCATACCATTGTGGAGATTCTTGATTGTTGAGAGGGCTCGACCATAAGCCTCACGGGAGGCTCTATAGTGTACTTTGTTAGAGGGGAGGATTGTTGAGAGGGAGTCTCACGTTGACTAATTTAGGAAATGATCATGGGTTTATAAATAAGGAATACATCTCCATTGGTACGAGGCTTTTGGGGAAACAAAAAACAAAGTCATGAAAGCTCAAACTCAAAGTGGACAATATCATACCATTGTGGAGAGTCATGATTCCTAACATGTAGTTTGTTTGTTTTCTTTTTAGTAAAACGGATTTAAACTAGATAATTGACTGTAGTTCATAATGCGTTTAAGTGGAAAGCTATTCTCTGTAATTAGGTTCTTCCCATTTCTCTGAGAAATCCGTATTTTCAGCTCTATGTGCTATCTTTCAATCAGATGACTGTTGAAATACTATTATTCTTTTGGATTTCTTATTTTGTTGTATCAAAGTTTAGTCTTCAATGTTAATTTGATATTAAATCCGGGCTAGGAGTGGACATTCTTGTGGTTGGGCTAAGTTATCTTGTGGGGTTAGCTTTCATTATCTTAAATGTTTGTTTTGACTGAATTTGGGAATTTTAGTTTCTGTGGCTGTTTTTGGTTCCTTTTTTTAGCTTAGTTTTAGATGTTGGCTAAGTTTAAGGGGATCTATTAGTTGGTTTTTAGGATATTTTCTATCTTGACTCTGAAAAGGGAAAGGTATTAAATGTAACTGATGTTCTAAGGAAATGTTATAAGTTCAAAGCCTAGGAGGCATTGGGAATGTTATTAGCTGACTTAAAAATGATATTTCCCTTCCCTTTTCTGTATTCTTTCCCAAAACTACATGAACATGGAATGGAATTGGACGAATTCTTTTTCCTAGTCTTGCTTTATATGTATAGCATACATGTATATATGTGTATACTTTAATTGAGAATCAAAATTTTCGGTGTAAGGAACTAAGTTTGTTGGTCGATTATGTTCTAATAGAAGTGTCCTGCTTTTGATTTATATTTTGATATGGATAACAAGGGGATTGAAAAATATTTCTCTATCAGACGTTTCCAAATTGTATAAGGATCTAGCGTCGACTCTTTGGAAGTCGGTCTCCAAAGCACCGTGTGGGTCATTAGATGACTTGGAGGACAAAGAAAAATGTAAGGAGTTGATTACCCAAGGAGGAGCTGAATTAGTAAATGCAAGTGCTTTTATACATAGCATTGATTGATCGAGTCTATTAATTATGACGACTTCCAAAACCCAACTTTTATGTCTAATCTAGCCTTTGCCTTGCACATAACAGGTTCTAAAGACAGTTAACTTTGAGCTTCATGTTCAGGAGCCTTTCTTTACTCAGCTAAAAGGTACTTCTATTAGATTATCTGTGCATTCTTAAGCTTGTGCTAGATGGTATACGTAATACGTAAACAAGAACAGTTAAAAATCAAACCTCTTTCACTTGAGAGCGCTCAGTGCACAGCACACGTTATACAAAAAAACACGAGCACCGTAAGAGTATAGGTATAAGAGAGTGAGGCAGCTTTTAAAATCTTAGCTTAAGCTTCTGAATCTTTTTGAGAATATGATTTTACTTGTTGACCTATTGGGCAGTCTTGTGATATTTAGCATGGATTTGTCTGATGCAATATCTTACTGGTTCTAGATGGCCTAAAGACAGTGGAAGGAAGATGTGCTGCTGGTGATTACATTCGGTATTGTAAATACTTTTCCATAATAAAATTACGTTCTTTGCTCGCTTTGTTTATTTTATATAATTTCTTAATCATTTATTTGTGCCATAAACAAACGATTTTCTTCGTAGAAAAAAGCAAACACTATTTAAAAGATGTTACAATATTGGAGACTTTGAGTTGCTATAGTTGTGAAATATTACATTGGTTCTTTGTAATTTGGCAAGATTGTCTTGAACTTGACAAAACAACCTGAATGTCAAAGTGACATGGTATTTAATGTTAGGAATCACAAACCTCCACAATGATATGATATTGTTCACTTTGAGCATAAGCTCTTGTGGCTTTGCTTTTGGTTTCCTCAAAAGGCCTCATACCAATAGACATATATTTCTTACTTAAAAACTCATGATCAACTCCTTAATTAGCTGATGTGGGACTTCTCTCCCAACCATCCTCCCATCGAACAAAGTGCACTATAGAGCCTCCCTTGAAGTCTATGGAGTCCTCGAATAGCCTACCCTTAATCAAGGCTTGACTCGCTCTTTGGAGCTCTCGAATAAGGTACATCATTTGTTCAACACTTGAGTCACTTTTGACTGCATCTTCGAGGCTCCCAACTTCTTTGTTCGACATTTGAGGATTCTATTGGCATGATTAAGTTAAGGACATGGCTCGATACCATGTTAGGAACCATGACTCTCCACAATGGTATGATATTGTCCACTTTGAGCATAAGCTCTCCTGGCTTTGCTTTTGATTTTTCCTAAAGGCCTCGTACCAATGGAGATATATTCCTTGCTTATAAACTCATGATCAACCCCTTAATTAGCTGATGTGGGACTCCTCTCCCCACAATCTTCCCCTCGAACAAAGTACACCATAGAGCCTTCCCTGAGGCCTATGGAGCCCTCGAACAACCTCCCTTAATCGAGGCTCGACTCCTTCTTTGGAGCTCTTGAATAAGGTACACCATTTGTTCGACACTTGAGTCACTTTTGACTACATCTTCGAGCCCCCCAACTTCTTTGTTCGACATCTGAGGATCTATTCGCATGACTAAATTTTAAGGACATGGCTCGATGCCATGTTAGGAACCATGACTCTCCACAATGGTACGATATTGGCCACTTTGAGCATAAGCTCTCCTGGCTTTGCTTTTGGTTTCTCCAAAGAGCCTCATACCAATGGAGATGTATTCCTTAATTATAAACTCATGATCATTCCCTAAATTAGTCAACTCCTTCCCAACAATCCTCTAACATTTAATTCTCTACTAATTTTTAACTATCTTCTTTGGTTCAGAATTCAGCCTGGAGCCTTGATACTTTTCAATAAATGTTTGTTGTTTGAGGTTCAGGTATTAATTCTGCAAAAATAAAAACATTGACATTTCTCCACCATCCATCGTTTCCATACAAAGGTTTTAAACTCTGCAGGATGTTCGTCAATACCCTTCATTTTCTGCAATGTTGGAAGCAGAAAGTCTTGATAAAGTTCTTCCTGGAGTAAAAACCTTAACAGATGGTAAGATAACAACCTGTATACTTTTTTTTTTTTTTTTCCTTTTTTTGATGAAACAGATAAAAACCTATATTGTTAACTTGCATTTCATTAATTTTCATGAACTTATACTCATAATAATATATGAGCTTTGGAAAACATTATTTGTTCTTACCTTCTAAGGTCATGAGAGCCATAAACTTATCCAATCTGGTTGGTTTGCTGATACATAATCCCTTTTATTCTCATTATTGTGCAAAAGGATCCAGCTACTATCTGAATATTGTATGAGTTATGAGCTGCAACTTGCTTCAGGTGTTCAAATATACAGGAATTTCTATTCTGAAGAGAAAGAACAGTCCAATGGTGTCCTTGGAATTCATGTCAAAAAATCTGTTGTCCAGCCATCCGTTATTTTGTCCAGAATTATATCTGTGAGTTTGATTGCTTCCCTACTTTTCCTTACCTACTTTCTTTCGTTTTTCTCTCCCACATCGATGGGGGAGAAAAACGAAACATTCTTTATAAGGGTATGGAAACCTCTTCCTAGCAGACACGTTTTTAAAAACTTAAAGAGGAAATCCAAAAGTAAAAGTCCAAATAATACAATATCGGCTAGCCATGAGCTTGGGCTTGGGCTTGGGCAGTCTCCTAAGTCTATCACAAGGACGAAGAGAAAAACTTTAGCCTTCTTTAGACCATTAGGCTTCCATGTTAGTAGGCTAGTTCTGGTAGGTTTAGTTGATAAAGTTTGAAAGCCTTACTTGCTAGAGTATCTGTCGGATCCCTCAAGGTACCAAAGGATTCGGTCAGCACCATCCCTCAAATGCACTGCACAAGGGCCACCCAACTGTATAGTTCTTTGTCACAAAAGACATCTTCTAATGACCAACAATCGAATATAGAGGCTATAAATAATATTAGTAAATTTAATGCATAATATTTCAAAAACAATATTCTTCTTTCCCTTCCCGTCTTATCTTTCCCGTCTTCGTCACGTCACGCCACTCCTTCCATTGTGATCCTTAGGTTAGCATCAACTAGACAAATCTTCCATCAACTTTTTGTTACGTTAGCAAATAAAAGTTTCGACATAGACCAAATAAAATAATTGTACAAAATTAAGAGAGAAAATTTAAGATAATTTGAAAAAAAAAAACGTATTTTTTAAGTAATGCTGCAAACTAACAAAATATTTTGATGTTTGGTCAGGGATTAGGCTACAATGCTATTCAAAGCTTTCTTGGCTTTTCAAGCACAGAAGAAGCACTGTAGGGTAATAATCTCAACTACTTAAATAATTTTATTATTTTTATTATTATGATTATTATTATAATATTCATGGATAAAAGATTACATAAAGCCATGCACATTGACTTTGTAAAGTAGATTTGGAAAGTGTAGTAAAAAAAGTATTTGTGCTCTCTTTTAGCCAACGACTAAGTTTATTTGCAATTCTATGTAGTTTAGGTTATATGTTTAGAATCATTCAAGCTTGACATGATCGATCTTGCTTGTACAGTGATTTCGAACATCAAACAAATGTTCTTGCCTTGACATATTCAAATAATAAGGTAACTCAAATCTTACTTTCTCTTGAAGTGATTCCTTATCGTTTTGAGATTGTTAGATATATTGTAAAAATATTATTCTTCAATAAGATTGTTGGATCAAATTCTCAAGAGTTCCAATCGTTGAAATGATATCAAAATCGGTTTGGGAGTTTTAGCATTTGTAAATTAAGGGTTTGCTTTTCAAATATAAGGGTTCTTAGATTTAACTCACTAGAATTATCATTTCTGGTAGACTCTTAGATTTTTTTAAAAAAAATCCGATAGCTTTTGAACTTTATTTCATATCTTTTTTTTATATATGTATGTTTTATTTATATCATATTCTTTGCGTTAACTATACGTTCTTGTTAAAAAAGTGTTTCATACGTCATTGAATTTCTTAATTTTATGGACCTATTAAACGCAAAATTTAAACTTTAGAGAGTCAGTAGACATATTAAAAATTTAACATATGTATATATATATATATATATATGTGTGGGCGGATCTTATCATAATGTTTCCCACTTAGAATAAGAACAATAAAAAGCTTTTATTAGAGGCATTTTTATATTAGGCATAGTTAGATTGAGTACTTTTGAAGCTAAATTAAATATTCCATTTTTTTTAATAAAAAAAAAAGGATAGAGATTATGGTTTTTAATTTATTATATTCTCACATGTCATGTCAATTATTCCACTTTAATTTCATTAAAAAAAAAATTCAATAATTAGTATTAATATTTAATTAAATGCAAGTTTTGATTAATGAGCATAAATATCTATCGAGATGGTTGCCATTTATTTGATCATATTCCTTTGTTCATTATTGCACCTAATTCCAATGTGAAATCAACTTTGTTTTCATATTTTCTCACTTATAAAACTTTTATATTGGAAAAATTTCATTATAACATTTTGTAATGCATAGTTTAACCGAGCTCAGAAGGTTGAAAGTTAGAATTCTCTCGACTATAGCATTAAAAAAATAGAAAAATTTACAAAATCTATAAAAAAAAAATTATATATATTATTGCATTATTAATTATTAATTATTGTGCTATAGGTTATACTTCCACATTAACGCACATAATCTAGATAAACACAAAGAACATGAGAGGAAAAAATGCAAGAAATTACTGTCTAAGGGATATATATATGTGAGAGATATGAAATAAAGGCCTGAGATACGTATTTGTCTATAATTCATAATTAATGTAAGATTTTCTCTCATTATATTAATATTGGTATACTTTTAATTAAAATATTTAGATTTCATTTGCAACCTTATGATAAGGAAAGATTAATCCAACATAAGGTTGAACCTTAGGACTTGACTTAGAGTAGAGACAAATCGACTAGAGTTGCAATCAAATGAAAATACATGTACATGCAACGTGTACAGCTGAATGAAACTTGATTTTTGCATGAGTTATATTTGGTCGGCGATGAAGAATCTCGCTTAAAGTCCGACAAAGTCATAAAGAGGAGCGAAAAATATAATGAGAGTTTGAGTTTCTTCGACTATGAATGTAACTGCCTAAGCTCACTGTTAGCAAATATTATACATTTTGTCCAGTTACATATTGTCGTTAGCCTTACAAGATTAAAACACGTCTACGAAGAGGTTTCCACACCCTTATGAGAAATATTTTATTCCCTTTTCCAACAGATGTGAGATCTCAAAATAAGCGTGTCTAAATCATAACACTGATTGCATACATGTTTAATGGTATAATAGTTGTAACTTTATACTATGATTTATGGTGTGAAATAAGGAAAAGTTGTTTATAGAAAGTTAGCGGCCTTTTCTGTATTGAAGCGGCAGGTGCTGCAGCAGCACCCGCCGCCGCCGCCGCCGCCTGAGGCGCATCCAGATTCAATACCAACAGTAGCCGGAAACCCCAACAAATAAAGCCAACCCCTACGCCTCTTTCCCTCCGCCATTGCCACTTTTTCCTCTTCTTCGATTTCCTTCTCCCTTCTCTCCAGGTTAATTTTCCTCCTCTCTCTCCCTCTTTCTCTCTCTCTCTCCAGATTTCGTTTCTCCATGTTTCTCTCTTCTTTTTCTAAATTTTTTATTGTTTGATCCGCCTAAATATTCTGTGAATTTCCCCCTTATTCTCATTTCATTACCGACCTTTGATTGCCCCTGAACTCTAGCTTGAATCTGGAAATGAAGAACATGCGTTTTCGTTCTCGATGCTTTCGCTTTCTTGATCATGCGCATTAGTTTTTAGATCAGGATTCCGGTTCCTCTTTTCGTTTTTTATTTCTATCTGTTAGGCTAGAAGGAATTCGCGGCTTCAATTTCTTTTATAATGTTTGATCTCCGTTTTTCTTGTTTCTTTGAATCTATAGTTTCAACTTATAGGGATTTACTGTGTCTTTTATATTGTCCATGGTTATTTTTGCATTAGATTTTTTTGTATCAGATGATGTTGTGTTCATAAAGGATACTTGCTCTGGGAGGGAGATCATGTTAATCCCTGATGTTGTCTGATTAGCACTTTTTTTTTTTTTTTTTTTTTTTTCCTTTTGGGATTGTATCTTCTAAAGCACACTGACAAAGTGTCTTCAAAGGCCGGGCTAATGTGAAAGTTCTAGTATGAGATATGTGAGGATTAGTGGTATATCAATAAAGGGCATAGCGGTAAACAGTTTGGGGAGTGTTTTTCTATAAATAGGAGTGTTACGAACCTTGGAGATGTAAATCATTTTAGTAGAGTGTCCTTTGTGGGGCTTGGAAGAGAGATAGCCCTCTTGAAAGGCTATTGTTATATTGTAGTTTCTTTTTTAGATTGCAATATATTAGTATCTTGTGGTTTTATGTGTTCGGACACCTAATATATNTTTTTTTTTTTTTTTTTTTTTGTTCCATTTCATATTTATTTAGGTATTGCTATTTTTATGTGACAGAAGCCAATTGTTTTTAGTTCTGTAGGCCATGTTTAAGATTCCAGATCATCAAGTTGCTGGGCATCAAGCCAGTAATGGTATGATGGGCCCTGTTGTGGATGATTCTGGTCTCTTCTTCAAGCCACTACAAAAGGATGAAAGAGGATCCAAGGAGGTGGCGTTCTATAAATCACTGGCTTCAAATATCGAAGTTCCAGATAAAATCCGTGCCTACTTTCCTGCCTTCCATGGAACCCAGCTTATACCTGCATCAGACGGTTCTGGCTTGCATCCACATCTTGTCTTGCAGGATCTCATCTCCAGTTACAAAAATCCATCCATTATGGATATCAAGATCGGTTCCAGAACTTGGTATCCACAGGCTTCTGAGGAGTACATCCAAAGGTGCTTTAAGAAGGATAGAGAAACCTCCAGCTTGGCTCTGGGGTTTAGGCTGTCGGGCTTGCAGGTCCATGTGAGCAAAGAAGCTGGATACTGGAAGCCAGACAGGAAATGTTTTCAGAACTCTTCAGCTGAGATAGTTAAGAATGTTCTGAAGAAATTTGTTTCTTCAAACATTTCTGCAGATTCGGATGCGGGTGATCTTGATTTTGATTGTGCTTTTGCACCATCAGTTTATGGTGGTTCAAATGGGATTTTGGCACAATTATTGGAGCTCAAGAGTTGGTTTGAAGATCAGAAGTTTTACCATTTCTATTCTTGCTCAGTGCTGATGGTGTGGGATAAAGAACCTAATGCAGCAGCTGCTATTAAACTCGTTGATTTTGCACACGTTGTAGATACCAAAGGTGCCATTGATCATAATTTCCTAGGTGGGCTATGTTCTTTGATCAAGTTCATCTCGGAGATCTTAACCAATCATCACGCCTGCCTGAACAAACCTTGCTCTGATAGCAATTTGAACTGCAACGGCGATAGCTCTGATAGGTGAGCAGAGTATTGAGGTTTGAAACATTGTGTTTATGAAGGATCATATCAGTTTTCAAACTGAACTATGATCCCATATGCTTTTTCTTATTTGGTTACTGGATGTTTTTGTGGAAGTAATTTTTTGTTTACTTTGTTGGAACTTCAAGAACAAAATCTGTTGAGTTATTGATCAGCCCTTTGCTGAAGTTGGTCTGATAGATTTCTCTGTAATTTATTTCACATGGGTCCTCCCAAGGCTGCAATCTTTGAAACAAATTGGTTTAATCAATGATGCTATGTATTTTTTTTTGTTTTTAATGAGCTCTCATGGGCCTTCAGTAGACTTGAGTTTATTTATCTTTGGGCCTAATCCCCCTCATGTGGACTTGGGCTTATCTTTGGGCCTAAGCCCCCTCATCCGAACTTGGGCTTATCTTTGGGCCTAATACCCCTCATTCGGACTTGGGCTTATCTTTGGGCCTAATTCCCTCGTACGGACTTGGGCTTATCTTTAGGTAACTATTTTAAGCTTTTAGTTTAAAATACAATGTAGCTTTTAGTTTAAATATTACTGGTCTCAAAATTAACTAGGTATATTTTTTAACATGTGTTAAAAATATATATTATATTAAATGGGGCGGGGAATTGGGTCTCGACCTCGCACATAAAATGGACTTCTCTTTGTGTCCCTTCTTTATGTAGGCGTCACATGACAATCAATTTCCACATTGGTTAGTCCCTGAACCATATTTGAACAAGGATTTGAAATTTGAATTCGAAATCTTATGGCCTCAATAGTCTCCTGCATTATGCAACATGATCATGTTATCGATTATCTTGAATAATTTATAATATTGAAGACTATCCTTACCGCCCAACATATCATTTTAGAATATTTTTCCGACTATAAAAATTTCTTAAGAGGTCATCTAACACATAGATTGTTTCAGACAAGTGCGATGACCTATATAATTATTGATTTTTCGTTAGGCCTAAGAAGTTTAAAACAATTTAAATAAAATTTAATTTAAGTTTTTTATTTTTTTGAGTTAAAAACTTAAAAAATAATTCTTGAGATTTTAAATTATAAAATTTTGAGGTATGACAAACAGAATTATATATTTGGAAATAAATTAGTTAAAAAAAAAAATAACACGTGTACGGAAAAATTACAGACAATATTTGTCGGTTCAGAGTGGGTCAAAGGACCAAGTTAGAAGGGCAAAATTGTCATATTATATTAGGGTTTTGGATAAAGGATTATTTGAGTAGAAAAAAAAAACAATTATTAAAAATATTCGACATATTTTGACGAAAAGTAATTTTAAATGGTTGCTAAATACATAATAAACTATTATCTTAATATCTGTATCACTTAACAACATTTTTTTTTCTTTAAAAATAATTTTATTTAGTACTTTTCATATATATATATATATATATATATATTTGTATAATAATCCTATAGAAAATAAACTAATATTAATTTATATAAATGAAATCATATCCACGATAATAATACTTATAAGGGTGAATTGAGTTATTTGGGTAGTTGAATATTTTTTTTCTAATTATTTTAAACAATCATATTTATCCTATTTTATAAGTTAATTTTAAATATCAAATATTCACAAATGACGATGCATTTATAATTAATTATAAAGCTCAAATATTCTTAAGTTTTATAATAATTTTTAAAGTAGAATAGAATTGAATTGTTACTCTATTTTTTAAGTTGAATCGAGTAAACCCGACCAACAAAAATAACAACTTCTAAACGAACACAAATTTTTAAATTTTTTAAAATTGAACCCAACATTATAGTGAGAGAAATGGTGGGGGTCGAAGTGATTTTGAATGGGAGAGAAAATGGACAGAGAATAGTTTCAGAGAAAGATTCGATCTTGGTGGCAGAAGGAATATTATTAGATATATATATATATATAGAGAGAGAGAGAGAGAGAGAGAGAATAGTTTCAGGCAAAAAAAAAAAAAAAAAAAAAAAAAA